GGCCTTCAGTGGGGACGAGGTGCTGGTCAAGGTCCTCGGCGGCGAAAGGGGCCTGTCGGGGCGGCCGCAGGGCCGTGTGCTGGGCGTGCTGAAGAGGCGGCGCAGTGATCTGGTATTCGTGTGCCGCATGGATGAGTGGGACTCGCGCATCATGACCCCCATCGACGGCTCTGTGACCAAGATCTTTGTGGCCGACCTGAAGGACCCACTGCAGGTGCCCGTCCACCGCTTCCTGCAGGGCCGCGTGCAGAGGGTGGGGTACGAACGGCTCACGGCCCAGGCCAGGCGCCACCGGCTCTTCTGGGTGCGCATTGTGGTCTGGCGGGAGCGCTTCTACTACCCGCTGGGCATAGTGCTGGAGGTGCTACCCGAGGTCACCACCTGGGAGCAGGGCCTCCGAATTCTGGACCTGGAGTATGGCCTCAGGGAACCCTCGCCAGACCCAGCTGTGGTCTCCAAGGTGCTGCAGAAATACTGCGCAGAGCTCGGCCGGGCGCCAGGTTGCCGGGACGACTGCCGCAGCTTCCTGACCTTCACCGTGGACCCCCAGGGTGCCCGCAGCCTGGACGACGCCCTCAGTGTGCGGGACTTGGGCCCCAGGTACGAAGTGGCTGTGCACATTGCCGACGTGGCCAGCTTCCTGCCCAGGGATGGGGCGCTGGACGTGGAGGCCCGAAGACGGGGCACTGCATTCTATGCCCCCAACCGGGAGCCGACGCCCATGCTGCCTGCTGGCCTCTGCCAGGATGTGCTCAGCCTCCTCCCAGGCAAGGACCGCTTCGCCATCTCGCTCTTCCTCGCCTTCGAGAAGGGCAGCGACCAGCTCAAGAGCCTGCGCTTCGCACCCTCTGTGATCCGCTCCGACCGCCAGCTGTCCTACGAGGAAGCTGAGCAGGTGATCAGGGGGCAGCTGGGGGCCGCCCTGGAGCTGCCCGCCCGCCTGGACTCCGTGGACGCCTGCATCCTGGCTGCGTGCCACTTCGCCCGGGTGCTGCGCCGACGCCGTTTGCAGGCGGCCTGGCACTATGAGCAGCCTGACGAGGACAGCGCGCTGGGCTTCCGTGCGGCCCACGCCATGGTCAAAGAGTACATGATCCAGTTCAACAGCCTGGTGGCCGAGTTCCTGGTGGGCAGTGAGCGCACCCGGACGGCCACACCATTGCGGTGGCAGCCCACGCCCAGCGGCCACCAGCTTGAAGCCGTGAGCGAGAAGCACGGAGAGCTGGTGCCTTTATCGCTTCACCTGAGACACCACCTGCGGGGGCGCGGCACCCCCCTTAAGCAGCTCCACCTGCTGGCTTCCCTCTGGAGGCACATCCAGCTTGCCGCCCACGCCCAGGACTTCGGCCTGCTGGCCGACCTCATCACCACGGACGACATGCACCCCTCGCTGGCTGCCGCGGGTCTGGACTTCCGCAAGGCCCTGGGCCGCTCTGTCTTCGGCCGCTCCAGCCAGGGTGAGCGGCAACCCGCCAGTCACTACTCACTGCAGGTGGACTGGTACACCTGGGCCACCTCACCCATCCGCAGGTACCTGGACGTGGTGCTGCAGCGGCAGATTCTGCTGGCACTGGGCCAGGGGGGCTCTGCCTACTCTGCCAGAGACATCAACGGGCTCTGCCAAGACTTCAGCCGCCAGCACGCACGTGCCCAGAGCTACCAGCGTCGGGCCTGCAGCCTGCACCTGGCCACGCGGCTCAAGGCTCAGCCGCGCCAGAAGCTGGGCTTCGTGGTGGATGTGGAATTGGGTGCTCGCTGCTTCAAGCTGCTCTTCCCGGTCAACCGGGAGACCCTGCCTGACCCCTGCCCTGTTTACTATCGCTCCCTGCAGCTGGCTAAGCACCCGCACCGCCTGGTGAGCCAGCTGGGCCTGCGGCTTGAATGGCGACGCCGTGTCTACTCAGTGATGCCGAATGGGCCATGTCCCCCACTGCCCGGCACCCTGCTGGACCTGCACACCTGGCCCGTGGACACCGCCCTGTGGCAGCAGCTGCTGGAGCTGGTGGAGGAGCAGCGGTGGCCGGAGGTGGCTGCCCGTGTGCAGGAGCAGGACAGTGCCAGGCCGCCGCAGCGGGAGCTGGGGCAGGTGTCACGCAGCCGCTGTGGCCACTTTGTGGAGGTGGCCCGGGAGCTGGTTAGTGGGGACACGCTGAAGGTGCAGCTCAGCGCCACGCTGCATCGGGGAATCCTGGTGCCAGCCCTGCAGCTGTGGCTCGTGGCCCCAGGCCTCAGCCTGTGCCTGGAGCACGTGGAGCGAGCGGGTGACTGCTTCTCGGGCCGTGTGCCGCAGGCCGGGCGGGACCGCTGCCGCAGCGTAGAGGACTACTGCCTCATGTGGGAGCCGTTTTGCTCCCTGGAGTCGGCCACCAGCGCCGTGGCCGAGAGCGACACCATCACGCTGCAGCAAGTGCACATCGCCTGGGACGCGGAGCGGACGGAGCAGGGGCAGCTCCAGGGCAGCTTCTGCCTGGAGGCCGCCTTCCTCCGGGAACATAGCATCGACATCAGTTTTGGCCACTGCTACCTCTGCATCCGGCTTGAGGGGCTTCGGGCTGTGCCCGATGCCAGGATGCCGGACCCTGAAGCCAGCCCTGGCCAGCCGCCCCCCGGGCCCAGCAGCCTGGGCCCCACCCTGAGCATCGACCCGGACACCTACACCTGGGTGGCCCACGGGCTGACGGAGGACTGGGACCCAAATCCAGAGGGCCGTGCCGACCGGCAAGAGGCTGACAAGCAGGTGCACTTCTTCATCCACCACATGGCCATGGAGAAGGTTCCAGAAGAGGTGCTGCGGCCCGGCGCCCCATTCACCATTGAGGTGCTACCAAAGCAGCTACCTGACCTGTGAGTGGCTTCCCCAGGGCCAGAGGCCAGGGAGAGGCCGGTGGGTGGGAGGGTGAAACCTCCTTGGACTCCCTCTTCTGGGAGGGGTGGCCTGTGGGGCAGTGCTCCCTCCCTGGGAGAGTCCAGTTGAAGTTCCAGTGTCGGTCTCCCCCCCACATGCCCCAGCCGCAAGGAAGAAGCCGTGCGTGGGCTGAAGGGCGCGTCCCAGCTGGTCATCAACATCGCCCTGGGCCACCCCATCCCCCTGCCCCACCACCTTCCCCGGCACTCTCCCCGACACCTTCCTGGACACCTTCCTGGCCAGCAGCCCCTTCGCAGAGGTAGGTGGGGGCCCTCCAGCTTTCCTGCCCCTTCTTCCTGCCCTGGCCCGCCCTGCACCAGAGCTCAGGGAGCCTGGCTCCTTCCTCAGGAATCCCCAGCAGGTTTTTGGAGCGACAGACCTTTGACATCCCCGGAGGCCGCCACAAGCTGAACCCCAGCCAGAACGAGGCCATCAGAGAGGCCCTAAAGAAGCAATTCACCGTCATTCAGGGCCCACCAGGTGGGACCTGCACTGGGGCCAAGGTGCCTGGGCAGGCCGGTGGCGGCTCGGCTCACCTGCTCTCTGCCCACAGGCACAGGGAAGACAGTGGTGGGCTTCCACATCGTGTTCTGGTTTTACAAGTTAAATGAGGAGCCAGTGCCGGCCTGTGGCACTCCCTTCCAGGAGAAGCAGCTGGGGCCCCCCTGCATCTTGTACTGTGGCCCCTCCAACAAGTCGGTGGACGTCGTGGCAGGTGCACTGGGTCAGCCATGGGGGCTGTGCTGGGGACGGCGGGCCCAGGGGACAGTCGCTCACGCCCAGACTGCCCCCAGGAATGCTCCTGAGCAGAAGGGCAGAGCTGAAGCCCCTCCGTGTGTACAGCGAGCAGGCGGAGGCCACCGAGTTCCCAGTGCCGGGCGTGAGCAGCAGGGGCCCGCCCAGGAAGACCCCTCGGGAGGGGAGGCCCAACCAGAGCCTCAGGTGCCGCCTCTCAGAGTCTGTCTAGCTGTCTGTCTGTCTGTCTGTCTCTGGGTGGAGGGGAGAGGCCTCAGCTGTCTGATGGTCCTGCCTTGGGCTGTGGGCAACACGGGGCTTCACGGGGGTTCCCCCGCCAGGACCATCACGCTGCACCACCGGATCCGGCAGTCCTCCAACCCCTACGCGCCCTCCATCAAGGCTTTTGACACCCGGCTGCAGAGAGGGGAGGTGTTCCCCGAGGAGGACCTCGCCAGGTAAGCGGCGGAGCCGTGGAGCGGCCTCCTGGTGTGGGGGTCCCTGGGTGACCCGACAGCGTCCCTGTGCAGGTATAAGAAGATCCTGGGGAGGGCGAGGAAGTTCGAGCTGGACCGCCACAGCGTCATCCTCTGCACGTGCTCGTGTGCGGCCTCGCCCAGCCTCAAGAACCTGAACGTTCGGCAGATCTTGGTCGATGAGGCGGGCATGGCCACGGAGCCCGAGACCCTCATCCCCCTGGTGAACTTCTCCCACATTGAGAAGGTGAGGCAGGTGCTGATGCCAGACAGGCATCGCCCGGGGGCCTCACACCTGGATGCAGGGAGCGCATGGAGGGCAGGTTGAGGTGGGGTAGCAGCGGACGTGCTGGGTGCCTCTGGGTCTGGGGGTCAGATCCACACCTGTCCTCCAGGTGGTTCTTCTTGGGGACCACAAGCAGCTGCGGCCTGTGGTCAAGAATGAGCAGCTGCAAAGCCTGGGGCTGGACCGGTCTCTCTTCGAGAGGTACTACAGGGATGCCTACATGCTGGACACGCAGTACCGCATGGTGAGCCGCCCCACGCCTGTGCCTCTGACCATTCCCACCTCCTGCATTCACCCTGGCCTTCTCCTGGGACCCAGGGAGGGCAGATGGCAGCCTGTCCCTGGCTCATGTTCTTCCGGCAGCACGAGGGCATCTGCAGCTTCCCTTCCATGGAGTTCTACCAGAAGAGGCTGAAGACCTGGCCGGGCCTGCGGCGGCCGCCCAGCATCCTGGGCCATGCTGACAAGGAGAGCTGCCCTGTCATCTTTGGCCACGTGCAGGGCCACGAGCAGAGCCTGCTGGTGTCCACAGATGAAGGGAACGAGAACTCCAAGGCCAACCTGGAGGAGGTGGCAGAGGTGGTGAGTGTCAGGTGGTGCCCCTTGGTCAGGAGGGCTTCCTGGAGGAGGAGGCAGAGGAGCTGAGGAAACAGGCGAGGCCCGGGTGCCAGGCGGGGAGGCACCAGGGCCTGTTCCACTAGCACCCCCTCGGTCCTTCAGGTTCGCATCGCCAAACAGCTGACCCTGGACAGGACAGTGGACCCCAAGGACATTGCCATCCTCACGCCCTACAACGCGCAGGCCGCAGAGATCAGCAAGGGCCTCGTGCGTCAGGGTGTCACCGGAGTGGCAGTGTGCTCCATCACCAAGAGCCAGGGTGAGGTTGGAGGCCGGCCCTGGGTAGGGCTCCTGGGCCTTCGGGTCAGGAAGGTGGGCCTCACTGTGCCCCTGGTCCCCAGGGAGTGAGTGGCGCTATGTGCTGGTGAGCACCGTCCGTTCCTGCCCAGAGAGCGACTTGGATCAACGGCCGACTAAGAGCTGGCTGAAGAGGTTCCTGGGCTTCGTTGTAGACCCCAACCAAGTGAATGTGGCCATCACCCGGGCCCAGGAGGGGCTCTGCCTCGTCGGTGAGAGCTGCTGGGGCAGGCCTGGGTGTGGCTGGGCACAGCTGCTATGGGGGTGGGGCCAGCACTGACTCCTCCATCTTGCAGGAGACCACCTCCTGCTTCGATGCTGCCCTCTGTGGCGCAGACTCCTGGACTTCTGTGAGGCCCAGCGGAGCCTGGTGCCCGCTGGCCAGGTGCGGGTCCGGAGGAGGCCAGCCGTGCTGGTCTGAAGGGCCCGCCTCAGCCATCCACTGCCCTCAAGCTGACCGGACGGCCAGGACAAGGCCCAGCCCTCCCCTGCAGGCTGCCTTGGCCCCGCTCCGCGGGATCCCACGTGCCTTCGTCAGCAGTCATCGCCGGCTCGGCCTGGCGCCCTGCCCCTGGCTGGGCAGGTTCGGAGGCCCGCCGTGGTGTGCACATTAGCCATCTCTGGAGCCCGGCTTTGTCCCCGGGGGAGCACGGACCTGAGAAGAAAGAGGAGGTCGGTGCTCATCCCCCCGGGTGGCCTGCTTTTACTGCCGCTGTGGTGACCGGAGCATCTCGGGTGGGGCCACTGGGAAGGTTTGGGGTCTGGAAGGAAATCCCAGCTCTTTGGTCTTTGGATGCCATCCCAGCCACACTGGTGCCAGCCATGGAGCTCAGCTTTATTTTCTATTTTTAAATAAACCCAAACTCAGGGCAGAGGGGCTTCCCTGGAAGCCAGGCCCTTTCTCTGCATCCACAGCGCCCCCTGAGGCCACCTCACCTTGACCTCCCCACCCACAGCAGCGCTCCCAAGGGCTGTGGGCGGGGCTGC